GACTAAACATGTTCTGGACGTCTAAAATACTCTGAATGCTTGACTCCTGATTGAAGAGCTGCTGTGTTCATTCATTGAAAGCTATGGAGCAGCTTGGCTTCATTAGCTTTTATGAGTTGGAAAAAATTATTTTAACATGTTTTTAAGCAAGAACGTCCATACCAGCACTGTGCAGTCAGTTCATCAGGATTGTGAAGCTGAAATTGAATATTAAAGTTTAGTTGTTTTTTTTTATTTGGTAAAAACTGCAAGTACTAGAATACAAAATCAGATACATTTTACTGACAGGGTTTAACATTTTTGGTTAATATAGGTATTTATTAATTGTTTCGCCATGGTTCAGCAGGACAATGCTTTAGTGGAGTAATAATGGTTATTAAAAATTCTTGAGAAAACAGTGGCTAATGAAGTATGTGAGCACCATTATTACCTTTTTCTCATCAGGTTTTAGAGCTCCTCATAGTACTGAAACAACAGTGGTGAAAGTCACTAATGATATTCTCATTGCTTCTGATAATAGACTTGTCTTGTTAGATCTCGTTACTGCATACACTTGGTCACAAAATTTATTTAGAAAGGCTTGAAAGTTTTGTAGGGATTAAGGAACAACACTAGGGTGGTTTGAATGTTATGTGTTGGACAGATTTCAGTTTCTTCATGTTAAAATGTTAGATCTTCCTCAACCTCCATGGTAACTTTTGGGCTACCCAGGCAGGGATGCCGCCAGTGGGGTGACAGTGGAAAGCATTAAACAAGTGCTTTGTCACTGTGGGGGGCATAGTCACATGTCCTACTAGAAGTGTCTTATGAGAGTGTCTGGCAGAGATTTGGATTTGCAGATATTGGAGAGCCAAACAGCAGAGCAACCCTGAATCCTTTTACACCAATAATTACGGTTAATATCAACACAGACATAGCAAATTAATGTCACGGTTAATGGCCCGATGGTGTCATTTTATTTTGTCAGTATTAAAATTGTATTGGAGCCTCTCATGGCCCATGTTTGATTGGTTTTTGGTGTACGTCTAATTTGAATTTAAACCCCCCCTTGGAGATGACACCACCAACTACCACTTGTTTTGCTTTAAATCTCAGTCCAGTAGTTACAACTCATCCAGAGCCCAAAGATTTAACGAAAAAGTATTTTTTTTTACTTTTCTTTAATCTCCTATGTAAATAAAAAAGCACAATGAAACAACAAAAATGGCTTTAGCCAAAGGAAGCAAAAAAGCAAATACCAAGTGATGCAATACCACTCTACACTGAGCCCACCACCTCCAGCGGGAACCATGTGGGACTAGTGCTACAGTAAGAAGATTGGGCCACAGTAAGAGGCCGAGGCCTGATCCAAGTAGAGTATTTCAAGTTTCTTTGGGTAGTTTTCATGAGTGGGGGGAGAATAGATAATAGATGGAACAGCGTGGCTCCCGCTACAATGCTTTTGCTGCACCACTCTGTTGCGGTGAAGAGAGAGCTGAGCAAAAAAGCAAAGCGCTTATTTACTAGGTGGTTTACTTCCTACCCTCACCCATGGTCATAATATCTGGATCAGGACTGCAAGATTTCATTTGTATCCACAAGATTGTGGATACAAATGGCTGAAATGAGCTTCCTCTGCAGGGTGGCTGGGCAATCCCTTAGAGATAGGGAGAGAAGTGCAGTCATTTGGGAGAGTCTTAGAGAACAGACACTTCTCCTCCACATGGAGAGGAGTCAGCTAAGGTGGCTCAGATATCTTTTTTGGATGACCCCTTGGATGCCTCCCTTGGAATATGTTCCAAGGGAACCATCCAGGCACATCCCACCAGGAAGATTAACAGAGGAAGACCAAAGATGCAATGAAGATAGTATGCCTCTCAGCTGGCCTTGGAGCACCTCAGACTTCTCCCAGCATAGCTTTAGGAGTTGTCTGGGGAGAAGAAAGCCTGGACGTCTCTGCTGATACTGATGCCCCTGCCACCTGGTCCCAGATAAACCGGAAGATGACAAGCATGAGAGAGATCTTGGTCATCCACGACAAGCTCAAAGGAGCATTGCTTCTCCTCCAGTTTAGAGGAGATGGGTCAGCTGAGCTGGCTTGGGCATTTTTTTCCAAATCCCCTTGAACACATTCTTTGGGAGGACTTCTAAGCATGTCCCACCGGAAGAAGTCCCAAGGGATGAACTGGGACATGGTGGGGGGACTGTGTCTTTCAGCTAGCGTGGGAATGCCTTGGGATGTCCATAGCAAATCTTAAGGCGGTTATTGTGGAAAGGGAACTCTGGTAGTCCCTGCTGAGAATGTGGCCCATAGGTTCCAGTCTTGGATAAGCAGTAGTTGATGAGTACTTTATGAGTTCTGTGTTAAGTAATTTATTTAAGACACCCAAAAACATAGTGAAATTAAAAATAAAATAAAATCTATTTTGTCAGGAAAAAAAATCTGTGACACTCTGATTAAAATGTACATGTCCCAGTTGATTTTTCATTATATTATGAATTGTTGTTCATTATATTTCATAAATGCATTACAAAGCCAGTGTATCTGCTTAGTATAGGGAATAATACAAATGGCTTACTTTTTTTCAAAGTTTAAGTGTCTGATTTCTGACAATATCAGACCAACCAAACAAAGCCTTATTTTCAACAATTATTTTTGGACTAAATCAAGACTATGACGGACTGATTAGATTTAACTTTAAATCCAACGTATAAATGATGCCTGGTGTTTAGGGGATGAGTCCAGTTTGAGTTTAGAATCCTTGAAGATGCGCAGACATTTTACAAGAGCACAGAAAGAACAGGCTTCATTGTAGACGAGGAGTAACACGTGTAAAACAGGTTTTCTTGAATCCTTAGAGGACACTTCTAATGAGCCCTAATCGTGGACACCAGTGCTCATCTGGAGCCGTAATGCAGGACAAGAGGTGAGACACAAAAGACCGCTATACTGACACAACAAAATAAATATTAAACATATTTTTTCAGATAAATTCAACAGCTGGAGAATTGTGCCTATAAGAACTCTACTTTTACCCTTTTGCTTTTAATAGGAAAAAAAAATCTAATTAACTTTTAATCCATCTTATCATTTGATGATTTATCTTTCTGCTTTAATTGCCTTTAAATGTACTCCCAAATGTACAGTTAAATATTTCATAATCAAGTTTTTGCAGCAATTCCATCTTCCTTATTAAACAAGCACAAGTAGTGACATTAAAATGCGATATAAATTTATTTGGATTTAAATATTTCCTTAATTGGAGGATAAAGACCAACTTTCATTAAAAAGTGATGCAACAATGAATTGCAACACACTCAGACTCTGTTTTCAAAAACTACTTAGAAACACTCAAAATAAAGAAATAAAGTAAAAATAAAAACTGTTAAAAAACACAAGCGGTGTTCTGGATGGGTTTGTCTTTGTTTAAATGTTTTTTTTTTTTTTATCTCCAAGAAGCATTTGACTCAACTTTTGGGGATTTAAAAGTATTTTCCTAATTCATCATGATTTATTTGCAGCTCTAAGCACTACATAATAAAGTTACTGTTGTCATACTTTGGGGAGTAATATCTGAGTAACATCAGTCCTCATTACCTAAAGTGTGATGTTGCTGAATAAGCATAAATGCTGGAGATAAACATCATCCTTCTGCATGTATACCATCTGTTGTTCACTACTGTAAATCGCTGTAATTATTACACAGTAGTTTTTGGTATATTTTCTTGTATATCTGTGTCTAATACAGGAGCCCAAACAGTTCAAACTCTATGATGTCATTCTAGCCCTGGCAGCACCAAGCAGGCAACATCTAAAACTCTTATTAAATTGCATAAGCAGATTTTTTGTAGGCTATAACAGAGGTTTCTTTAATTTTGAATGTCACTGTGTGGGATGAATAAAGTAAGGACTCCATCGAGACATTGTTGGCTGCATCTGACTGAGGCTCAGTGGGTTTATAATGATAAGCCATTTTTCTATGCTTAGACAGAAGCTCCCTGAAGAGTCCCTCTGTCCTTCAACAACACAGAGCAGGCTAAACTGGTTGCATTGACTATTTCAGACTGTTTTGAAGGAACATAAAAGGCCTCTTCTTAAAGATCCATTGCAAGTTTAGAGGGTAAATATTGTTTTCTCTCCCATACATGTCGTCACAATTGCCTGACATAAAAATAAGCTTTGGTCTACTTGCCACAGTGGCCTCCATTGGCTCCGTTGGCTGCCGTACTGAGAGTTCAGGGGAGATTGTTTTTGAAGATGGATTTCAAAGGACCAGCCACAAGTGTGCCTCAAACCCCATCAGTCTCCCCACAAGAATAAAAACATAAAACTTTCATTTACTGTGCCGTCCACGGCCAATTTGGACTTTGATCGATTACTGAAAAAGATGACAAAATGTCGGGGATGCTTTTAAAACAGAGGGAGAAGTGTTATGATCATATTTGCTAAAATGGTAAGATGCTCCGTTAAAAATAACTTTCCCAAGCCTCTAAACAAAAGACCTGGGCAATCACAGCGGCAAACTCTGGTGCTTTTTTCTTCCATTCTTGTCGCCAGAGGGTGGCGAACCTCTGCAAAAACCCTTGTGCTATGCTCTGTTAAACAAGGTGTAAAAACGTGTTTCATCACCTTGTGTGTCTGGTCACCTTTGCTTATGAACAAGCTTTAAGGTTTCTACGGTGTTTGTGTGAAATGTGTTTAAAAAGACATACATGTTTCTTCTGTGGATACAGAGAATCTTATGCTTCAAGGGCTAGATTTTTAGCTTTGTATGTTTATGCTCCACACATATAAAGCCACTACACCCAGAGGGTCCCCAGCTGGTGAAATGCAGGAGGGAAAACACTTTAATTACATTTGCTGGTCTCCAGTATTAAGGATGAATACTAAACAAGCAACAGCCTCCATGGAAATGAATTCATCTGTATGAGTGTGTGTATGTGGAGTGCAATGAATTACTAACCCTTAGATATCTTTATATTTTAGAGAGTTTTATTAGGATTTAATGTGACAGGCCCTCAAAAGGTGGGGTCTATTTGTTATGAACAGGGAAAATAGTACATGTTTTCAAAACATACACCATGGAGAAATTCTACACAGGGTTAAGTTGAAAAAAGACAAAAACAAACATTTTTGATCATTTAAAAAGTGGAAAGGTAGAGGTACATTAGCATAAATTGAGACAAGAGAACACCAACCAAGATATGAGAATCTACCTAAAATGACAGACGGGGAGCAAGCAGAGGATTAGCAAATCTGGAGGTCCACCTCTCAGGTGAGTAGTCACCTCTCTATCCTGCTTTGCCAAGCTTCAGTTACCGGTATATTGCAACGAGAAATGTGAGAGACAGTACCCAAAAGACTTAGACCTCATAATGCAGTGGAAGGCTGAACAGATTATTGTCCACTGTTTCCATTTGCCATGTTTCTTATATTAGTCTATATTTCTATTAAATAAAGCACAAATAACACATACTAAAAATAATGGTTGGAAAGAGACAAAAGATGAAAAAAATTAAGGCGTATAAATATGTTTGGTTTTGGTCATTGTATTCTAGAAACTGGCGCTACCTTTTAATGAAAGACTAAGCAGCCCTGGGAAGGTGTTGGAAATACTTTATCACGCAAACTATGCAAACATATTTTGGTAAAGCATGATCCTGTTGGGTTTGGCTATTTGCCCAATGACACTTCCCATGCTCTGTAAGTTTGGGTTTGTATGTAACACTATGTTAAGTGTTGTTTTGAAAATATGTTCACTTATCAATACCAGTTAACTAGCAGGGAAAACTGGACACATAAACGTTAGATGCTGTAGACAGTTTAAATGTATTATAGTAAAACCCTATTTAAAGACAAATAACAAGTTGATTAAAAAATGGCAGTGCTTAAATTGTTTTATATAAAGAAAATATCCACTAAGTTCCATAAAGAACAAAATATTTGAGCTATTTTTTTTCCGATCTAAGATTTCTACAGCTTGAAGAGAGACTGTAAAGGTATTTAAGGATGATATTAAAGGTATCCTTCATACTTTAATAGCTGCTTTTATGAAAAAAAGAAAGTGTCTAAAATACAATATGGCTGTGCATAAATACGAAAAATACAATGTTCTGCCTGCCATTATAAGAGTGACTCTAAGATCTATCATCTTCTTAGTGAAGTATTATGGCCTTTAAAAGAAGAGAAAGCTTCATATTGGCATTCTGCATGTAAATGGAAACACAAGGATATTTTATTTACTATCTTACTTAGCAGCAAAGAAAAAGTTGTTCACCTTGGAAAAAAGCTCAACATCTGCCGAAATAAAAACAATAAGCAAATTGATACAGGAGTTTGTTTGTTTGTTTTTTCTTATTCCAATTGTTTGTTTGTTTTTTGCTGTGAGCCACATGTCTAAGTTTATTTAAAACCAATTGAAAGTTCATACTTTTTAAAAGCATCTTAATTTTACTGTTGTAGTTGTCAACTTATTGTTGTTACTTGTATCTTCTGTTCAGAGATTGTTCATGCAACTCACTTAATCAGATCCTCTCAACACTTGGAGAAAAACTAAACCAATAAGATAGAGCTTTATGACAAGTTGTTGAGATCTGATTCCTGCAATAGCAAAGAATGTATGCTTAGCAATGGCCCAAAGAACCTCCCAGAGAAGTTCACTAAGTCACATCAGGCAAGAACTATTAATTATAGGCAAGAGGCTATTAATGTATTTTAGTATAAACGACTGATTCCAGTTTCAATTAACTGTTTGTAGTCATTCACTTACTTACAACAATAAACACAATGTGAATAAGAATATCAAGCACAGTGTCTTCGTCTAAGATCGAACAGTAATTCACTGAGGATAGTTACAAAACCATCTGACCGACATAAGTAGCCAAATTTCTCAGGAATCTTTATCTTTGTCTTTAAATTTGTTGCAGAGTCAGTTCACATCATTATTATTATTGCCTTCGTCTGCAGCAATAAACTTGATCTCAGCATTGGCAGTCCTTGAAGCCATGCTACTATCTCTGACCTTGTGTTTAAACAGGAATGGGAAGGTTTTTCTAAAGGACTTTTGAAAGCTCGCTCCCATAAAGCCATAAACTATGGGGTTGACTGAGGAATTGGCGTAGGACATGCAGTTAGCCCAGGTCTTGATCTTGTACATTGTGTAGTTAGGTTGGTACTTTGGATAGAAGGATTGGAAAAGCACAAAGATCTGGATGGGACCCCAACAGATGGCGAAAAGGAGGACAATCACCACCACCATCTTGGAGACTTTGCTCCTGATGCTGATCGTTCTTTCAGACAGGAGGTTGACCTGAGAAGGAAATCAGAGCAGATATTTTGTTACACATTTTTCATTAAGAAAAATATTTTTGCTGATGGTCTAGCTGTGGTTAGACTATTTAATTTTTTTTTTTGGTCCAACATCAATGTTCTTTTGGGTGTGGCACCACTTCAATAAAATCTATATTTTTAATTAGAATAAAAATGGGGGTACACGTTTTTGATAAGCTGTGATAGGCCTATTTTAATTTACATGAAGAAGTTGATGCCAGCAGAATCTTTACAGTGCAGGTAAATTCACTTCTAGCCAGGAATGAAGACCATGCATTTCTTTTCTCTACCTTCAAGATTTGGCTCAGTGATTAGGAATCCTGATTATTATACATGATTTTTTTGATATTGATAAAGTAAAACAACCTCCTTACAGTAAAAGTAATTTCAGTAAAATCATCTTCACATCATTGTTCAAATCAAGATTTTAAAAGTAATTTCTGCTTTTCTACTGCAGACACAATCTTTAAGAATGACCATAATTTTTATATTTAGAGTAAAGTGATAAGCTGTATAACCGGGTATCAAACTCCAGTCCTCAAGGGCCAGTGTCCTGCATGTTTTAGATATGTTTTTGTAAAACACACCTGAATCAGATAGTCGGGTCACCAGAAGGACTCTGCAGAATTCAGTTACGTGCTGAGAAGGTGACTCAGGTGTCTTAGATCATGGAACATATCTCAAAGATGCTGGACACAGCCCTCGAGGATTTGAGTTTGACAACCCTGCTTTATAGTGGCCTGTGCATCTTATGAACACTTTAACTTTGAATTTGAGTCACATTGCCTTCTATCGCCTACAAGTAAACACAATAATGTAAGGATTCCTGTCTGTGAAGTTGCTGTGTACATTCCCATGACGTTAGCCTTGCTCCCTCTGCTGCATGGGCAGTCAGGTCTGAGCAGTTACACCTGTGGCAATTGCAGTTTTCAATTAATTCCCCGCTCAAAAGTTTTTGTCTTAAGATTTTAATCAGGAGCGTATATATTTCAGGCTTTCACAGTGTGCAACCCCTATGTTAGTAAAAGCTGGTAGTGTTTTTAGACCCTCCAGCAATCCTTCTTTTGACCTCTTGATCTTGAACTGTCTTGTTCCTTTTTTCTCTTGTCTGGCATGCCCCTGTTGGATATTCCTGATGCCTACTGATCTCTTGAAATCTACTTCCTGCCTTGCCTCACAACCGAGTCTGTTGGCCTCTGACCCTTTCTTGATTGTACTGTCAATCATTTATGACCAAACCCTGGATCTCGGTTCTGCCTCTTGCCTTTGTCGGTCTGGAAATCTCTGCTTCGTCAGGGGCGTCCTGTTACTGATTCTGTCAAGTGGATTTTGGATTTGAAACCTTCAAGAAAACACCGCCCCCTGGACAGTTTCTCTGTGCATGACCGCCAGACTGACAATGATTCCCCCACTATTCTTTGCCCTGTCTAGCACCATGAACATTTAGATCAGTCATTCAGTGATCTGAATCATCTAAACAGTGCAATTGGGATAAATCATCAGAGACAGCACAATCTCACAGCTTTTGAGAAGGGAATCCAGTTCCAGTCAGCTCCTATTCCTAATACCAAATGTTACTTTTGAATACATTTTTTTAACCCCTACTAAATATGTCAGCTGAATTATTGGGTCTCTATATTCTGCCCAGGCATTATACAAAAAGGTCCATTTGGTCTTTTTTTAAGATCTTAGAAGCTTAGTTGATTTTGCTTTTTTTTTATTGTATATACAAGTCAAGCTTGAAAATATAGATTGGTAGTTCAGAATAGCAAACAAAACATAAAAAATATGCAAATGTAACATTTGTTTTAGGTTTTTGTGGTAAATCCTTGTGTAGTCTCTTTGGCAGCCCCAAAGTTTATATCTGTGCAAATGTTGGATATCTCATGGTTATTAACTACTAACGACAATCATCAAAACAATATCACTTAATTTTTTTATTTAGGAGTAAAAAAAAAAAACTTGTTTTACCTGATAATTGTTGTCAACAGGCTCTACAGTGGGTTGACCTACTCTCTTTACCATCATAGAGTAGCAAAAAGAGATTGTGAGCACCGGCAGCAGGTAGGCAGCAATAAACTGGTAGAGGATAAATGCTCGCTCATGCGTCTTGGAGGGAAATCTCTCCATACAATATTGTCTCGGACCGTACCAGTAGCCCTCCTCTATCCGCTGGTACATTAAAATTGGGGTGGAAAGGATGAAGGAGCCTGGAGAAATTAAATATACTTGTATTTAGAAAAACACAATTCTTTTACACATTTAGTATTGTTTTTGTTACATTTTTGTTTTTCTGTATAGCAGCATAGATAAATCAAAGTTGCATACCAATCCAAATGCAAACACTGACTATCATGGCCACTTTTGGTGTCCGGTGACGGAGAGATTTAAGAGGATAGACTGTGATGTAACATCGGTCTCCACTCATGGCAGTCAGGGTGATACATGTTGCTTGCACCGTCACCTAAGAAGGAATCACAGTCAAACACATTTTATATATGGGCTCTCATTATGTTTCTTAAACATATAAAACAAAAGCATGGTGTGTAGGAGGTGTATTAAATAGCTGACTTTTAAATAAACAACAAATCAATACACCTATAAGAATTATGTTAAATAAGGAACACATGTAAAATATAAGCACTGAAAACAGACAACATCTGATTCTTTGCTGTTTCATAAAACCACTCACAATGTGTTTTTTCCTGATCCCTTTGTGAGAATTTCCCAAATAATAATGCAATACTACTGCATTATATCGAGGATATACTTAATAGAATACCATTACTTAAAAATTGTGTTTATTAAGAAATTTTCACCTCCAAAACCGCAAATTTTCAAAATCACTGCCACAATAGGTATACATCAGCTTGGGTGGTTTAGGAAAGTTAGTCCATGAAAACTGTTAAAATATATGATAGATATGCGTAGTGTAGATTGGAGATAGAAACCAGCAACCCTCACGACGCCAGCAGGGATAAGTGTATCAGAAAATGGATGGATGGATGGATGGATGGAT